AAAAAAAAAAAAAAAAAAAAAAAAAGAATAGAAAACTTAGAAATAAACCCATAATTATATGGTTAATTAATCTTTAACAAAGGAGGAAAGAATATGCAATGGGAAGAAGAGTCTCTTCAACAAATGGTGTTGGGAAAACTGGGCAGCTACATGCAAAAGAGTGAAACTGAACCCCTGTCTTACACCACACACAAAAATCAACCCAAAATGGATTAAGGACCTAAATGTTGAGACACAAAATCATAAAAATCCTAGAAGAGAGCACAAGCAGTAATTTCTCTGACATTGGTTATAATGACACCTTTCTAGATAGGTCTCCTTGAGGAAAGGGAAATAAAAAAAAATAAACTATTGGAAATGCATCAAAATAAAAGCTTCTGCTCAGCAAAGGAAACAATCAACAAAACTAAAAGAAAACCCACTGAATGGGACAAGATATTTGCAAATGACATATCCAAATAAGGGGTTATTATCCAAAATATATAAAGAACTTACCCAACTCAACACCTCCAAAAACAAATAATCAAATTAAAAAACGGGCAAAAGACATGAAGAGACACTTCTCCAAAGAAGACATCCAGATGGCCAACAGACACATGAAAAGATACTCGACGTCACTCATCATCAGGGAAATGCAAATCCAAACCATAGTGCGATATCACCTCACATGGGTCAGAATGGCTAAAATGAACAACACAAGAAACAACAAGCGTTGGTGAGGATGTGGAGAACAAGGACCTTTTGTGCACTGTTGGTGGGAATGCAAACTGGTGCAGCCATTCTAGAAGACAGTATGGAGGTTCCTCAAAAAATTAAAAATAGAACTACCCTATGATACAGTGGTTGCACTACTGGGTATTTCTCCCCAAATACAAAAAACACTAATTTAAAGAGATATAGGTACTCCTATGTTTATGGTAGCGTTATTTACAATAGCCACATTATGGAAGCAGCCCAAGTGTCCATTGACAGATGAATGGATAGAGAAGATTATATATATATATATATATATATATATATATATATCACACTGGACTCTTATTCAGCTATAAAAATAATGAAATCTTGCCATTTGTAACAACGAGTGGAGCTAGAGAGTATAAGCTAAGTGAAATAAGTCAGAGAAAAACAAATACCATATGATTTCACTCATAGTGGAATCTAAGAAACAGAAAAATGAGCGAAGGAAAAAAAAAGAGAGAGACAAAACAAGAAACAGACTCTCACCTATAAAGAACAAACTGATGTTTGCCAGAAGGGAGGTGGGTGGAGGGATGGGTGCAATCGTTGATGGGAACTAAACAGTACACTGATCATGATGAGCACTGAATAACGTATAGACTTGTTGAATCACTGTATTTAACAAAAATTTTAAATGTTTATTTAAAAAAATTTAGAAAATCTTTTATCTATTTTTGAGAGAGAGAGACAGAGTATGAGTGGGGGAGAGGCAGAGAGAGCAGGAGACAGAATCCACAAAGCAGGCTCCAGGCCTGCTGAGCTGTCAGCACAGAGCCCTACGTGGGGCTCAAACCCGTGACCATGAGATCATGACCTGAGCTGAAGTCAGACCCTTAACTGACTGAGCCACCCAGGTGCCCCATTGAATCACTATATTGTACACCTGAAACTAATATAACACTGTATGTTAACTATACTGGAATTACAATTAAAAAAAAAACTTAATAAAAAATAAATGAAAGTAACCATTTGAATTCCAAAAAAAGAATGTTTTTCTAAACACTGAAGAACATTTTTGAACTATTTTTGATACTGTATTGGAATGTCTTGATCACTAGATTTTCCCTCTGAAACTTTCACAAAGATGTTGCTGATGTGTTTATGTGAATGACCTCCTTTGTTAGCAGGACAGTCATTATTTATCCCTCCTTTGCAGATGAGGAAACCGAGGCTGGGAGAGTTGAAGTTACTTGCCCTCCACAAGAAGGCCTCCCAGTGAGCAAGGGTCAGAGCCATGATCAGCTTCCAGACCACGGAGTGGCCTTGTGTTCTGTCCATTTACCACAGGTTGAAGAAAAAGCCCAAAAGTAGCCACAGAAATTACCCCCTTAAAAAACCGAAGCAGCCACGCCCGTGCCAGGATCATTAAAGCAGTTGGAGATATCTTTTCACTTTGGAAATTACAAATTCCACACACAGGCTATTTAGTTAAGGGGAAAACGTTGAGACACGAGTAGCTACATTCACCTGAAGCACATATTTCAGGCCTTTTAGCCTTTGGGTTGAAAGCTGTGATGTGGACAACAGAGCCATGGCACTTGGGGTGGGGCACACAGCTAGCTGTAGTCTTTCCTTCCCTTCCTCACTGCTCATATACGCTCTTCACCTAAGGGGAAGTGAGGGTTCTGGAAGGCAGGAGCCCCCACTCAGAAAGTGGTGAGCTAGGGTCCTCTTAGCCATACTTCAAGAAGGAGGAGGGTATTCATTAGCTTGCAGTGTCTCCTGGCCCAAAGTCGGATGCCCTCCCCACCACTACCCCCTTGAAATCATTTCTTCTAAAGGCCACATCCTAATGGGTCTGAGTCTGCATTTGTGTAAGTGCCGCTGTTCAGTCGAGGAGAACAAGGTGCTCTTTGTGCAGAGCAAGTTCAGTTTGTGCAAAGTGGAAAGATTTCAAAAGAGTACAGGGGAGAGGAGGTGGGGGATCCAAATTAATCCCAGCCATGGAACCCCCATGGCTTGACTTCTGCTAACCCCTTCTGGTCTTGGCATGCTTTTGAGTCATTATTTTCTGATGTTATGGGCTATAGAGTGCCTTGCAAAATTCTCTTACCCACCACAAGTGAGTCCCGAGGAGTTGGCCTCCAGGGCAGTTGGGTTCCACAGATCATCTCCCCGGAATGACTTATAGGTATCATGTAGATAACAACAGCCTGGGAAATAAATTCCACACAGGCACCACTTACGTTTGAAAGGCCCCAACTGCTGGAGGCCAGACTATTTCATCTCTAGTTAAGGAAGGGATTTCTGGCATTTTCTGTGAGCCTTCCAGGCCTCCTGCATCTCATCCCACTCACTAGGTAAAAGGGTGGAAAGAGGAGGTGCTTGTTTGGGATAGAACAGGGTGTGATGGGAAAATCAGCACAGGAGAGAGCCTTTTGTAATATTTAGTGTAAGGGTAAAAGTTTTGACAGTTATTAAATAAGTTTGCAGGAGGAAACAATGTCCTTGCTCTAAATATTTATTTATTTTTAAAAAAAAATTTTTTTTTCAACGTTTATTTATTTTTGGGACAGAGAGAGACAGAGCATGAACGGGGGAGGGGCAGAGAGAGAGGGAGACACAGAATCAGAAACAGGCTCCAGGCTCTGAGCCATCAGCCCAGAGCCTGATGCGGGGCTCGAACTCACGGACCGCGAGATCGTGACCTGGCTGAAGTCGGACGCTTAACCGACTGCGCCACCCAGGCGCCCCCTTGCTCTAAATATTTATATCACATATCGCGATATCCATAATAAGACCCTGAAGAAGGTTCTGGTTTGCATGTTGTAGCAGCTGGATGGACACTTGGAAGAACTGTAGAGGGAATTTGGGCATGGAGTGGGAAATGGGCTGGAGAAGTCACTCCTTCAAGCCTGAGATTCTGTGAAAACTGGAGATGCCAATCCATTTTCGTAAGGGAGCTGTACTTTTTAAAATACAAGATCTTTTTTTTAATGTTTTATTTATTTTTGAAAGAGAGAGCATGAGTGGGGGAGGGGCAGAGAGAGAGGTAGAGAGAGAATCTCAAGCAGGCTCCCCGCTGTCAGCCCAGAGCCCGACACGGGGCTCGATCCCACGAACCACGAGATCATGACCTGAGCCGAAATCAAGAGTCAGACACTTAGCTAACTGAGCCACCCAGGCGCTCCTTTAAAGTACAAGATTATAGAGATGGGAGAATAAATTAATGGTTACCAGAGATTAGGGATGGTGATGGGGGTAGGGGGCAGGGTGGGTGTGACTACAAAGGGGTACACAGGGAGATCTTTGTGGTGATAGAATAGTTTTCCTCTTGATTGTGATGGTGGCCACACAAATCTACACATGTAATGAAATGGCATACAACTATACGTACACATTGTACCTATATCCATTTTCTGGGTTTTATATGGTACTATAATTATGTGTGATGTAATCACTGGGGGAGACTGGGTGAAGGGCAACTTCCTGTGACTCCATACTTATTTCAAAATCAAAAGTCTTAAAGGGGCGCCTGGGTGTCTCAGTCTGTGAAGCATCCGACTTCGGCTCAGGTCACGATCTTACAGTTCATGGGTTCAAGCCCCGCATCGGGCTCTGTGCTGACAGCTCAGAGCCTGGAGCCTGCTTCGGATTCTGTGTCTCCCTCTCTCTCTGCCCTCCCCTGCTCATGCTCTATCTCTCTCTCAAAAATAAATAAAATTTTA